AACAATGAGTGAATAAATCTTTTTTTAAAGAAGAAAAAAAAATTAGTCTCTGGTGAACTTAGACGATACATCACCAAAAAATTTCTATTTCAAAAAATGAGAATTGTACCTGTAATTCCAATTTAGTGGATTACCAGTGATTTATACTCCCAAATAATAAATGAAGTTCTGGTGAAGTAGGGCCTTACATCTTGCACAGCTAACCAAGAGATTACTGCTTCAAATTTACAAGCTTCTCCACAGGAGAAATATAGGTAGTCTCTTCCTGGACAGATTTATAGTCTTTAAAACCTGATAAAGGGTCACTATGAGTTTGAATCTACTCTGTGGCAGTGGATTTTCAGATTATAAAGAAGTCCTAGTACTGCAGTCGATTAAGCATTAGGCTGCTGACCAAAAGCTCCTGTAAAAATTTACAGCTTTGGAAATCCAGTTCTACTCTGACCTACAGGATCACCATGACTTGAGATCAAGCTGAGTGTCGGCTGGTGTGTGTACTACTGAGTTGGAACCACATGACTTTGGGACTATAGCACAGCTTCTCACTACTAGGCTACCAGAGCTCCCTAAACTGACAGTTCATATTGTTAGGTGCCATCAAGTTGTGCCATTGAGTCAAGTAAGACACCTAAGTGACCCTATGGACAACAGATATGAACCTTGTACTGTTAGCCTAAAGCTGGGGGATTTTAGCCATTATTTTAGCCCCTTTTGGTCTCCAGCAATCTTAACTGCAGACACACGGTCTTACAAATCATCAACAGCTGTGGTACTAGGATAAGAAAAACTGCTTCTCACACTGCAAGCAAGACTTGAGGGAGGCTGAAACAAGATCCTGATGATGGTGGTGAAGACTCTAGTATTGCTGTGGAGAAACTATAGTAAGGCGTAACCCAGGAAGCCCTGAGATACAGTTAAAGGCTTTGCTATGCCTGCTAGATAATTAAGGAAAAGCTAACCTGTAACTGCTCTGCGGCAAACCTTGCTGGATAATTGAAGAAACCAAAGACTTCTTGAATTTGTGCTGATATAACGAAACTCAAGCTTGGACTGAGGAACTGTGTTTGGGACTGCTAGACTAAACTCTGGATTTTCACTGGGTGATATTCTTTGCCTCTCCCATTCTCCAACTTAATCTGCTTTCTGCTCAAAGGGGCTCTGCTATTCTCATTTTTTCTGGCCCTTTAGATACTTATCCTATCCTGTGCTATCCTCAGACTTCCTAACACAATTGAGTCCACTGTGGCAGTCACTGTGTCAATCCACTTGGTTGAGGGTCTCCTCCTTTGCTGACCCTCTGCCTTTCCAAGCATCATGGCCCTCTCCAAAGAATAGCCTCTCTTAACAATATGCCTGAAGTATGTGAGGCAAAGCTTTATCATCTCTGCCTCCAATGAGCACTCTGGTTCCTTAATTTCTCCAAGATATATTTGTTCTTTTGGTAGCCCATGGGATATTCAGTACTCTTGTCCAACACCTCAGCTCAAAAGCATCTCTTCTTTTATCATCCTTATTCTTTGTCCAGCTCTCAGATGCACAGGAAGTAATCAGAAAAACCATGTCCTGAATCAGTTATCAAACTGATATCCCTGTTGTTGTTGTTGTTTTTAAGTGTCATGAAGTCATAGACAACTCATAGTGACCCTGTGAATTAAAGACCTGACACTTGTATAACTCTCATCATTTCTGCATGTTCATAGAGTTTCCGGAGGCAAGCCATTTTGGAAGTGGATGCCACTCTGGCTTCCAAGCTTGTTTTAATCGGGAAGCTCCACCAAACACTGTCCATCATGGGTAACCATTATCACTTTTGACACATCAGTGTCACAGTGTTCAGCATCATGGCAAACATGAGTTTCCTCTGTACAGCAACTGGAGAGACCAGGGCTATACTACTTAGAAGAATGTTTGACAAAAAAACAATTAAAACCAGGCCTGAGGGCCACAGATGAAAATCACTCACCTTTGGCTTGGTAACATCACTTTCCTGACATCATTACTTTCCCATAATTTGGAGAGGTCTCTGACGGCAGACTTTCTCAGTGCAATATGTCTCCTGATTTCCTGACTGCTGTACCTAGGATATTCATTGTGGATCCAAGTAAAATGAAGTTGCTGACAGTTCCAATCTTTTCTTCATCTATCAGGATGTTTCCTATAGGTCCACTGGTAAGAATTTTTGTTTTCTTGACATTGAGATGCAATCCATATTAAAGGCTGTATTCTTTAATCTTCTGCAACAAGTGCTTCAATTCCTCCTCATTTTCAGCAAGCAAAGTTGTATCATTTTCATAATTCAGGTGATTGATGAGTCCCCCTCCAATCCTGGTAACACAATCTTTTTCATGGAGTCCAGTTTCTCAAATAATGTACTCTGTATACAGACTGAATAGGTGTGGAAAGAGAATACTACTCTGACACATTCCCTTCTTAATTTTAAACCATTTTGTGTTCGCTTGCTCTCTTTGCAGCCTCTCAGTATAGGTTTTGCATAAGTACAATTAAGTGCTCTGGGATTACCATTCTTTTTTATATCAGTCATAGCACTTCATGACCCACACAAACACCTATGCATGGTCAATAAAGCACTAATAGACATTCTTTTGCTATTCTTTACTTTCAGCCAGTATCCATCTGCCTCTATCAAGGATATCCTTGGTGTCACCGCCTCTTCTAAATCCTGCTTGAACTTCTGTCAGTTCCCTATCTATGTACTGTTCTAGACATTTTTGAATGATCTTCAGCAGTATTTTGCTTGTATGTGTCCACCTTCTGCATGCATCCCCTTCCAATCCGTTGCCTTGACAGCTATCTTTCAAATTTCCTGGCATAGATTGGTGAACACATCCAGGGCTGGAAGTCAACTGGTATTCCATAAATTCCTGGGGCCTTATTTTTTGCCAGTGCCTTCAATGCAGCTTTCACTTCCTCCTTCATTATCCTTAGCTCCTGCTCATATGGTACTTCCTGAATTTTGTCAGTGTTAGTCAGTTCTTTTTGGTACAGTGACTCTGTGTATTCCCTCCACCTTCTTTTGATGCTTCCTTTGTTGTTTAATAAATTTATCACCCTTATCATCTTTCAGTATTGCGACTCAAGGCCTAAATTTGTTTTTCAGTGCTCTCAGCTTGACAAATACAAAGTGAATTCTTCCCTTTTTGTTCTCCAACTCCAGCTCTCTACACATTGCCTTATAATACTTAGCTTTGTCTTCTTGGGGTGCCCTCTGAAATCTTCTCTTCGGCTTTTATTTCTACTTATGTTTTCCCTTTGTTTTGGCATCAACACTTTAGTACAATTTTTAGTCTCTTTTTATTTTTTTATTTTATTATTATTGTTAATGAACATTTACAGAGATTTTGGATTTCCATTCATTCACTGTTGCACTTTTCTCCCTGCCCACCCCTCCGCTCCAGTTTGTTCTTCTCTTTGAAAAGTAAAATTCTTTCATTGTTATACAATTCCTCCCAAGTCCACTCCATTATGCAGCCTTCATTTTGGACTCCTGTTATGACAATAATACCTAATCATATATTCCTCTTACACAGTTCTCTCTCTCATTTGTTTCAATGTAGTATACATAATTTATCCCATCTTTCTCAGTCTCCCCCCAATACTGATGTCACTAACACTAATTTTGGTTTTTTTTTCTTTCTCCTCTTTGTAATGACCTTTTGCTCTCCTCATGGACAGGGTATGGAATGTCATCTCACAACTCATCAAGTCTTTGATCACTGGTGTTCAGTGTTTCAAATCTATTCTTAAGATAGTTGTGAAAATCTTCAAAATCTTGTTGATGGTAGTAGGCTTTTTAACTGTCCACCCAGGGATGTTATTTCCCAAATACCTACATCTTAGTAGAGTCATGTGACTATGGTTTGGCCAATGTGGGTAGAAATGAAATGCAATAATGAAGGCTTACCCACAATCTCTCACAAAATGCCCACATTTTGTCTTTACCTATTTATATGCTGGATATAAAGGGTCCAAGATGGGCTTGTGAGCCATGTATTGAAAATAACAAGAGCTCTGGTCAACCTCTGCCTCTGGAGAAGTGCTAATTAACTGAGATTTTAAGATTTTTTTATTACAAATTTACATTTAAAGCAATACTAGAAGACAGAAAAGAAGCTATCAGTGGTAAAAGGACAAATGACACAATACAGTATCAGAAAGGGTAAAGGATTAGAACTTTTAAAAATAAGACGGTGTTGGAAGAAATGCCAAATATATTGATAACAAGATTAAAAAGACTGGAAAAAACTCAACACTATGAAAGATACTGTCAATTTAAGTATATGATAATAAAGAATGCAGTTAAGAGAACGGGAAATGTAGTAGAAGCAATTCTGTTGAGTTTGATAACATAGTTCTGTTTTTGTAAAAAATCCCTCTATAGGCATGGTCAAATAGGGAGCTCTGGTGGCCTAGTGGCAAGAAGATGTGCTGCAATCCCAAAGGTGCACGGTGCAAATTCACCAGTTGCTGTGCTGGAGAAGGAGAGGCAATCTCCTCCTGTGCAAGTTGGATATGATTTGACAGTGCACAACAAGAAAAAAAAGAAGAAATGGTCAAACAAGTAGAAACACTGTATAGTATAAGCAGACATCAGCATATTACAAGCTCTGAAAAATATCTGCAATATGTTTTTCTTTCTTTAAACCAGTTCTATTTGTATGACCATAAAGTCCTTTTTCACTCAATACCTATAAAAATCTCTTTAATTTGGGGAAATAGAAGCAGAAGTTTGGTTTTATAAGAAAAGGAAACCAAAATCATACAGGCATGAAAAAGAAATCCTTGTAAAAATGTATGTGTAAAGGTATTATAGCACTTAAAACACCCTAATAATGAATCATTGCTATTTTTAACTTCTAAAAGAACTATATAACTACACAAATAGTCTATTAAGTAGAAATAGATACCCAATTCCCACCAAATAAAAACAGAATACAATGAAAAAGAGGTAAAAGAACATACAGCTTTTAAAACAGTCTTACCTTCATCTTTATACTTTATTGTAACTTCATCATTACTCAGAAGTTTTCCTCTGAAAACTCGTTGCATCATTAGCACCAATTCATCATAAGTAATATCCTCATTATGAATGGGAATCCTCCGGATATCCTCCCCAAGCTGAGCTTTGATAATTAGCTTCCCACTTAAGTCCAACTGTCCATTCATGGTGGACTCCAGGATGTTCTATATATACACAACTCTACAAAAAAACTGATAAAAAATGGTTTTGATGATGAAAAAACAAAATTACAAATATAAATATGCAATAAAAGAACTACATTAAAATAAATAACAGTCTTAAGCAGCATAACACTCCCAAAGTAATCATGCTGTTTCATGCCAACTCAAAACCAATCCATAGCTGAACCTCCAGTGGGTTTTCTGAGGTAGACTGTTGCACAAAAGCTCCTCCCACAGAGCAGCTGGTGCCTTTGGGATTGCAATGCAGCTTCTTACCACTAGGTTATCTGAGCACCCTCATAGCAGGGCTACATTAAAATAAACAATGGCGTTCAAAACAGAATTACTCTCAGTGTTATCATATTCATTTAAAATTTTCCACCTGCTGGGTTCCATTCACAGACGTCTTGGTTAGTAGTTAAGTTGTTTAACCATTGTGTTACCCAGGCTATTTTAGTATTATTTCTGGTGATGCAACCTGTAGCAAGGTGTGCTTCTAACCCAAAGATCTCCAAAGGTTCAAACCTACTAGTCACTCCTTGGTAGAAAGGTTTTCTGTGCTAATTTGTTTTTATAGCCTAGGAAACATTGTGTAGGGTCACTAAGTAGGAGTCTGAATTGACTAGACAGCAGGCTTCCTAAACAACATGCCTCCGCAAACTATGAATTTTGATAAATGCTGATAGTTGTAAAGGGCTTCAGGCCTTTTGTTCATAGGGTCACTAGGAGACGTGCTCCACTCAAAGACAATCAACAATAACATATAAAGCAGGTTATTATTTCACTCACATATAGAATTGCTAGCTTAAGAGCACTAGTTTTCTAAATTAACATGGCCCCCTGTCCAACCGTTTTAACCTCTTTCTCGAGTTCTTTCATTCACACTACTACACTCATACTTGTTCTCCCTCAACTGGAAGCTTTGCACTCACTTTTCCTCTGCTTTAAACCAGTCACATGATTGAAATGGCACCTTAAAAAAATTCTTCTCTGACCAGCAAACTAATTTCCCTTCCCTCAGCTTCCCAACGAAAATGTCCTTTATTGTGATAAATATAAATACTATAAGACCCTTCCCAGGCATAAGTAGGAATGTACTAGAATGCATACTTTATTTAAGATATTAAAGATTATCAGAGGCAACATTGAGTCAATTACGACAGACTAAAACCAAAGCCAATTCACTGCCACTGAATAAATTCTGACTAGTATCAAGGCTCTGGACAGAAATGAACTGCCAACAGCATTTCTAAGGCTGTACTATTTACAGAAGACTGTAACATCTTTCTCCCACAAAGTAACTGCTAGGTTCAATAAGGCACAACCACTGTGCCACCAAAACTTCAGTTGTTGCTAGATGCCAGCAAGAGCAACCCTATGAATATCAGTTCTGAACCCTGTCCTAGCCTGTGCTATTCTGAGACACTCAAACCCACTGCAGCAGTCACTGTGCCAGCCCATCTGGTGAGAGCATTCCTCTCTTTCCGCAACCCTCCACCTTACCAAGCATGAAGCCCCTTTCCAAGGAACAACCTCTACATATGTGAGACAATGCTTTATCATCTTTGCCTAAAAGCAACACTATGGTTGCACTGTATTCAAGACATAGCTGCTTGTTCTTTTGGCAGTCCATAAGATATTCAATACTTTTCTCCACCACCACAGTTCAAAAGCATTAACTATTCTTCTTTCTTATTCAATGTCCAGCTCTCAGATATAGCAAGTGATTAAAAAGACCATGGCCTGAATCAGGTGTACCTCAGTTCTCAAACTTAGTTTTACAATAATTTGGAAAGGTCCCTAAATGCAGACTTTCCCAGTCCAATACATCTCTTAATCATCTGACTGCTGGTACTAAGTATATTGATTGTGAATCCAAGTAAGATTAAATCATTGACAACTTCAATTTTTTCTCAATCTATCTTGATGGTGCCTATAGCTCCAGTGGTAAGAATTTTTGTTTTCCTGATGCTGAGATGCAATCCACACAGAAGGCTGTATTCTTTGATCTACTGTAGCAAGTGCTTCAAGTCCTCCTCACAGCAAGCAAATTTGTGTCAACTGCATAACACAGGTTACAGAATTTTCCCCTTGAGTTTTAATTGTACTTCCTATTAATCAGACTGCTTAGCCTATCATGATTTTATAATCCTAAATTGAAAATAACACGTGACTCTGATAATTTAAGTGATTACTCTAGCACCCTAGTTGGCGAAGAGGAAGGCAGATCCATTTCCTCTGGTGCAATTTATAGCCTCTGAAAACTCACGGGAGGGTCAACAATGAGTCGATTCCAACTCAAAATCACAGTAACAATACCAGGATGAAAATAAATTTAGAAGCAAACAGTAAGGTATTTCTTCCATTCTTCTTTAGAAACTGGTAGTGAAGTTGACAGGCTGCTAACTGAAAGGTCATTGACTTGAACCCACCAGCCATTCAGTAGAAAGATGGAACAACCTGTTCCTCTAAAGATATATATAGCCTCAAAAATGTTATGGGATAGTTTTATTCTCTGCAATAGGGTCACTAAAAGTCTGATGTTACTCCACTGCAACGGGTGGGTTTCATAGTCAATACCATATTTTCAGACAAGTAATATAGGGACATGCCTCCTACAAACTTCTCACACATTAGTTTACTATGTGCACATAGTATGTGAGAAGAGGTTATGCTCTAGAATGTTATCCATAACCAATGAGCATTTCTTTACCATCAACTCTTTACTCTTCCTATTACAACCAAATAATGTGACAGTATTGTGACTAACGTTTAGAAGCAGTTTTCTGCTCTCACCTCTAAAACTACTAACATAATTAAATATCATAATTGGCATTCACACTATTTTGCCATTATTCTCTTTAGTGTGTAAGCAACTATCTGCCCTTCAACATATTTTAACCCTTCCAACAACTGAAGTGTTCATTGATACCCTCTATATCTGTTTCTTCTATCTACTACTTCAATGAGTTTAACAACCAGTTCACTATATATTTTATTAAGAACCACCTTAAAATTGGCATTTAATATGGAATTAATACAACACTCCAAAATTTGTGCAAAATATAATGGTTACGTTTCATGATCTGAATGTTGTACTTGTTTTACAACAAATCCATTTGTCATAGTGGATTCCTCATGAAGACTGATTTATTCGAAATTTCCAATCAATAAGTCCTTCACCTGCTAGCACAATCTACCCTGCTCATTCAGGAAACATTTACTTAAAATCTACGATGAGCCAAGCTCTGAAGTATAACTTCTTCAATATAACCAGTATCACGGCTGCTTTGGCAATCTCAGCATACAACAGACCTTTTAAGAAATCAGTGTATTTCTTCTTTTCTCCTAGGGAGATTTGATGTCCTAGTGGTAAGGAACTGCACTGCCAACTCAAAGTCACGTGATTTCAATTAGAGGGTCAGCTATGAATCAGTTTAACTGAACAGCACATAAAAACATGACAACCACCTACTATGTGTATGTAGATGCTACAATACAGACAGCACCAACACTGAGTTTGTTAAACTCTTACTGACATTGAGTCAGAACCAACTCACAGCTAATCCTCCAGTGGGTTTCAGCGGCTATAAATCACCTGAGTGGAGACTCCATCTATCACTTACAGAGCCACTAGCAGATTCGAACAGCCACAAAGGTGTTATCAAGATACCATATTCGAGCTAGCAGAACCTTCTACAGACTATACTACTTCAGTAAAATAGGATTCTATTCCCAGCAGCACTCTGAATAGTGTCTTACTGATACATGGTACTATCTACATATTTCTGCTGCCTAAACCAAAAATAAATAAATATATTTAAAAGAATGATAAGTTTCTGATAAAAGGGCTGGGAAAAGAATGCTGATCTTCATATTAGACCTTCCTTTTGTAGCTATAAGTGACTTGCCATATCAACATTATTTCATAATAGAAATCGTATGTAATTGATTAATTTGCCATGTTGATTACTGTTCAGGTACGAAGAACCTAAAAACTTGAATCGTGTTATCTGCTTACTGGAAATTCATTTGTTCTTTGGCGTTTATCACTGACTGTAAACTCTCCATGGTCAAGAACTAGGGCTTCTTTCCCAAAGTGGTCCCCAGTTTGTGCAGTCACCTCATACCAACCACAATAAAATCAGATCTAATCCATTGTCACTGAGTTGATCTGGACTCAAAGTAACCCTCTATCAGTTTCTGAGGCTAAGGAAACTGCCTGTCTTTCTCCCTCAGAATGCTGGTGGACAGCTTCAAACATTACACATGAAAAGGAAAACTCATCCCAATATTTCTTTAACACTTTTAAAACTGACGACCATGCTTAGAATTAGAAACACATCTGCCGTCATTTGCAGGACAGCAGAATTCTGATCCTGTATGTCCCCCAACTACAACCAGCAGCAGGAGTCTGGTTGCTGGTGAGATCCTTATAGCTTTCTCTTCCTCTATCTGGTCCTTGCTCCACCTCCTCTGAAGTCCAGAACGACATGGCCACTAACTCTCCAGGACGAACATTCTCCTCTGCTGGAGAAACAGCGGCATGCCAAAGGTCACAAGGGGAACTGATGATGTAAACCTGCCTTCTGAATTCAGACCTACATTAGATTCAAGTGATCAAATCTCTAGTTCCACCAGCCAGGAGAGAAGGGTCCTTGTTCAAAAAGCTGCCCAGACTCCCGGGCACTTCCAGTCACATGTATCTTACACAGGCCCTACAGAACACAGCAGAACTGTCCCTGTCCCGTAGGGTTTCCAAGGCTATGTGGATTGCCACATCCTCCTTCAATAAAGTGGTTGTTGGAAGTGCTAACCAATCTTTTGGTTAGCAGCCTAGAACTTAACCGCTGTGCCACCAGGGCGCCTCTATAGGGCAGCCACTAAGCTAAGCCAACCTTTGCTTTATTCTATAGAATGCTAACGGTCCAAAATCTTGCCTAATAACTGGGATATCAGAAAGTTGGTAAAAATTCCCCATTACTAGCTACGTGATCAAAGGCAAGTCTTTATACTAAGGCTCACTTTCATGTGA